GAAAGATTGAGAAATGAAACAGACTTAAACTGATGCCTTAAGTCAGATATGAGGTCGGCATATCTCTCTGACTTTCTGACAGCATAGCAGTTGAGGTTTGTTTCAAAACCTATGCTTAGCTCTAAAACGTACAGACAGTTTTCCTTGGTTTTGAGAAGTAAGTCAGGGCGTAGTTGATCTCCAGTTATGATAGAAGGTGAAAGAAAGAAAGAGAGAAGAACTGTTTATTGCTTGCAAGGAAGTGGCTAGAAAGTTTAATGCAGAATTATGACACCAAGTATAGCGGCCTTGGTCAAGGTTCACTTTGCATCCAGCAACAACATAATAATAATAATAATGACTACCTAAACAAGATGCTAAGCAAAAAAACTGCTTAAAAACTGGTGTGTTGCCGTATTTCCAGGAATGTTTCAGCTGAAGTCCGTTTACTACTAATAACTATTGTCCTAATAACTTTTTAACTCTGCTCCTCCAGATATAGTTTTCTCCAATTATACACGATATTGATCACCATTTCATCACATTCTTTATATTTTCTTTACTTTGGGAGAAGTTTCTCAATCCTTTCCATACGTCACTTTTTACACACCCAAGCGAACCAAAACAAAGAACAACCAGCTGCACTGAGAATCCATTTCTCTCAGATAATCAGATAGCTCCTTATATCTTCTAACTTTCTCCTGATAAGTATTATCCAAATATAAATCATAGCAAACAGTTATTTCCACTATTGTGCACTGCCTCTGTATACGATTGAGAATGACTATGTCTGGTTTACGATGAACAATCTGCTTAATCCTTTCTTTAAATTCTGGAAATATGGTTTCTGCTAACATATTGGATGAAATTCTTGCCCGTGGCTTATTTTCTTTTATGAATTCTGCAATCTTATTCACAATTCGATCATAGCTACGTTAATAGAAATTCTTAAAGTCGTTGCAACCGTTTAATATGTGAGCTACGGATTCTGTATGTCTGTGACAGGGCCTCCGACGAAGGGGGGGCCAGGGGGCCATGGCCCCCTCACTTTTTTGCAAAACAATAGAGCTTTTTTCAGAATCTTTTGTTATGATCGTTATATTTTCTCTTCGCCCCTCTACTTTCCAACCTGCGTCGGAACCCATGTGTGACAGAACGGGCATTCTGGACTGTGATCTCTATTCCACAGGTGAAGGGTAAAGTTGGTGGGAAGAATACTAAGCCTCGCTTTGATTGCAAAAATCACAAGAGTATCATCAACTTTCCAATTATAATAGATGGAGTGTGACGATTTTATATGAATATTTTCAAGATTGAGATAGCATCCTTGCACAGTTAATTCCTTTGAAGCCTCGATATCTCTTTCAACACAGAGCTGATATAGCTTCTTTTGGAGCTGACACTGATTGTCACACCATGTTCCTTTAATGAGAGCCATCGCCTTGTCAAGGTACACTTTGCATCCAGCAACAACAACAACATAATAATAATGGAAACTTTTCATTTTGAATTCCTGTTAAAACTACAATTACAAATCTCACTATTACAAGGTAATTTGTAACTGGCTAGCCTGTGTTTACAAAATAAAAACTATTACATCGTAGTAATGAGAGAAAAAAAATTGTTAAAAGGGGTGTAGCTCTGGATTAGTCCAAGTTTTGTTTCTGCAGCAGAATATATAGTATGTGGTGCGAATGGAGATGCTTGTAAGTTTGGAGATGAGGTAGCGTTTCTGTTGATGATCAATGGACAAAGAGTCACACATGTCGATGAATGAGCTGCAGGAGTCGCCAAAAATACCAAGTGAACTGATGGAAAGATTGACAAACGAGACTGACTTAAACTGACGTTTTAAGTCAGATACGAGGGTGGCATATTTCCCTGACTTTCTGACAGCATTGCAGTTGAGATTTGTTTCAAAGCCTATGGTTAGCTCTAAAACGTACAGACAGTTTTCCTTAGTTTTGAGAAGTAAGTCAGGGCGTAGTTGATCTCCAGTTATGATAGAAGGGGAAAGAAAGCCTGGTAAATCTGCGTAGAGAGAAGACCCATTTATTGCTTGGAAGGAAGTGGCTAGAAAGTTTAATGCAGAATTATGACGCCAAGTATAGCGTCCTTGGTCAAGGTACACTTTGCATCCAGCAACAACGTGTAGAAGTGTTTCTGGAAGAAGACAGAATTCACAGTCAGATGTTTGACTAAGGTTCCATTTCAGCAGATTTTTTCGAGTTGGAAGAGTGTTGTTAAGGTACTTGATGGTAAAGTTAAAGATGTTACTAGGCAAATTGCTTTGTGTACTTGACCAAATACCGTTCAGCTTTTCCAGTGAATGTTTCAGTAGGAAGGTAATTGTGGCTCCCTGAGATGTTAAGTTTTGGGAGAGACGTTCTTTGTTGTCTGATTTGACAGCCTTTAATACCTCTTTAGTATTACGATAGATGTCGTACTGTAGGTTCGTGCCATGACTGGTGTTTTTCCATAGGGTTTGAATGTCAATATTAGGAGAAGATTTTAGGGCATTGCGACAGACAGTTTGGCATTGCGTAAATTTGATAGAAGGCAGTTGTAGATTTAGGCTAAACTGATTTTTTGAGAGGATTATTCCACTCAATGTTGCAGAAACAGGAAGATCAAGCCACTGGCGAATGTAATTGGAAACAAGATTGTCTAGGTTTTGGACAACCCAGGTCTTTGGTAGATCTGCAACAGTAAAATGCCATGAAACAGTAAAATTATAATAATAATAATAATAATAATAATAATAATAATAACAATAATGGCTTTGAAAAAAGCAAACATTTTACGACATACTAAAAGCTTTTTCGTCTGACACTTCTCAGAGAAAGAACACGATGGAAAATATATACCCAGTTGTTGATCGAAATAGGCCAATCAGAAAAACGCAAGCACAAGACCGGTATAGGTGACCAATCAGTGCCGCGAGCAAAGTTTGGTCCGCAAAAGTGCCCAGTTTATTAGAAACTACCATGGATTGGTAACACTTCCTTGCGATTCGAGAGTCAGATTAGGCAAGCCATAACCAAATGTTTCTTTGCTGTCAATCCTCGGATTGTTTACAGCACTAGGAGAGCCCTTCCATCCATTCAAAAGGATTGCGTTCCTACCAACCAAAAAAGTTCCGTCATTTATGAATTCACGTGCCAGTGTGATTCTGGCTACATAGGGCGCACAACCCAAAGATTGAGGGATAGGATAAAACAGCATGTTCCTTACAACATGAGAAGCAAAACTGCCCCTCAAAGAGAACAGCCTCCTCGATCTTGTAGGTCTAGAAACACTGTTAAGACAAGTGATTCTGCCATGAGTCAACATCTTTTAGACAACCCAGATTGTGCAAAACTTTATAATGACGACATGTTTCGGATAATTGGCAGAGCCCGGTCGTCCTTCCATCTAGCAGTTTTGGAGTTGATCTACATAAAAACGAAAAAGCCGCCATTGTGTAGACAGAAGGAGCTCGTTTTCTCTCTTGGACCCCATTGGTAATTTTTCTTTAGGCTCGCGGCACTGATTGGTCAACTATACCGGTTTTTCTGATTGGCCTATTTCGATCCACAACTGGGTATATATTTTCCATCGTGTTCTTTCGGAACCTTATTCTGACGTTTTATGCTCTGAGGAGTGTCAGACGAAAAAGCTTTTAGTATGTTGTAAAATGTTTGCTTTTTTCAAAGCCATTTTCAAATTCTGTACCGCAAAAAAAGTAATAATAATAATAATAATGAAGATAGTAATACCTTTTTTACTGTTAGTTTGACAATAGTGTGAACACTAATAAACACTAACATGAAGCAATTTAAGAGATTGCACTATGGAAGTCATTGACTGCAAGCGTTACAGGCGCATTGATTTTCGAAGTACCAATCTTTTTAAGAACTTTGAATTGACTTGCATTTTTGGATGATTTTATTTCATTTGGAAGAGAGCAGATTCAGGGGTATTGGAGTTTTTACCCTAGCAGTTAAAAAATCCCGACAAGATGCACTGTAATCAAAATGTAACAAAACATAACTATTCTTCTGAGGCTTGTGTGTGAAAATTGCCGGAGTATTGTTGTTATGTGGTATTCTGATTTCTAATGGGCAAATCTGTTTCTCATTAAATGACCATTCTGAACTTTGAGCCAGACCACAAAATGCATCAAAAGTTTAGCCAATTGTGATATCTTGAATGATTCTGTTGAGATGTATGGGATGTCTTGAGCCAAGCCTTAAAACTGGTCAAAAGTTAAGAACAAATTGAGAACAAGCTAAGGTAGAGCAACCGTAAAATGTAATATTTTGAACAAAGTCACATATTCTCCTCCACACAGGCTACAATCCTTGCCAAAAGTCTTGGTACACCAAGCTAAAATTTCGCATAACTTCAGTAGCTTCCCCCTCTCCCCCTTGAAAAAATGTTGAATAACAACAGTTTCAAGGCTTGAAATTTGTCCAATGTCACTTTATCAGCTAGGGTAAGTAATAGGCTTTTTAACCAACTGTGTTTTTGGGGGGAGTGGGGATATTTCTGTATCTTATGGCCAGAAACCTTATTTCTTCAAAAATCTTTCATTGGTTGCAGGGTGTTTCAAGGACTTTTGACAAGGATTGTAGCAAATGCACTGCTTACAACCAAATAACTTAATAGCAAATTAAGAACAATCCAGTCTTAAGCTTTTAAGAACAATAAAGAACAGCCAGCCTGAATTTTACTTTACTGGTTCTTATAAGAATGTGTAGCTAGGGAATGCTGGAGGTGCAGCAAAAACAATTCATGCAGGAAGCCATACTTATAAATGTGGGTTCTTGCTATAAATCATTACAATATTAAAGAAGTAGGCTTATGAAATATGCAAAAATTTGGCAGCAATGTTTCAGTCAACAGTTGCATCTGGCAAGTTGAACAACCTGATAGGGTAAACAGAACAGAGCAATATTACTGCTAGAAAAATCATGTCCAGTTTTGTGTAATAGATTCATAAAAAATATCCTAGATACAAACAAGAAAAACAAAAGGCATTTTCTTCTCACATAAATCTTTGCTACATATTCTAATACACTTGTATAAACCAAGTATATATACAACTAGCTAAAAACAAATCACACCTTCAAGCTTCTAAATAGTTAGCTGTTAACTATAATTTTCACTGACAGTATTTCATAAAACAATAAGTATATCCAATATCTGAAAACAATATTTAAAAAAGTTACTTGAATTTCGGATATAAATCATTATTTAATGGTATCTGAATAGGCCTTAACCAAAAAATTTCATTTAAAGCATAAAATATGGTTTATAAACTAAATTCAAATTATTTGAACATTTCAATAGTTAAGTTTCCTTTCAATTCATGGGAAATCAGCAACTCCATCTTCTCCATCAACAAAATCCTCATCATCTTCATCATGAGTAGAAAAAATTGGTGTCTTAATATCACCTTCAGCAAATGACATGTTTCTCCGTGCTTTTTCAATTGGACCAAACTTGGTTCTAGCAGATTCCATTTTCTTCTCTTCATGTTCGACAGTTGACTCGTGTGGCATTAACTGTGGAGGTGCTCTAAACAAATAGCTAAAGGGATAATAAAGCAAATTGACACAGGATGCAGAGTATAAGTCTGCGTATCTCATTGCTTGGCTTGCAAAGAACGTCTGTCTGCTGCCACTGCGGAAAAGACTACCAAGTTGGCCATAGCACTGTTCCATGCTGTGTGTTATCTCTCGAATGGACTTGGTCACTCCACTTATATCAGGTTGTAGCATTGTCTTTGAATCAAGGTTTTTGTATACATCTGCCAGTGTAATTTCTAACTGCCTCAATTTGTCAAACTTGTCTTGCTTCTTTGTCCAGACATCCAATTCAGTAATCAGCTCTGGAACAACCAGGTATGTTCTCCAGCCTTGCTTCTTTTTGGATTTCAATATGTCACCAAATATGTGATCCCCAACATATATAATATCCTTTCCTTCTGCACCAATGAGTTCTGAAAATACTTCAGAGTTCCCTCCTGCATACACCCCTCCTTTCTGATGGCTACCAGTGAATTTTCCGATGTGAAGCTGGCCAGTTGTAGTGTCCACTTGTCTCAGGGCAGTTCCCTCTCCAAAAAACAAAGGCTTCATGGCATCAGTCACCACCACATCAAAGTAGTCAATCCATGGCCTATGGGGTGTGTCTTTTCCAGGGCCATAAGGGAAGTCAAACAGGTATGTCATCACACGGTTGGTGTACTCATAGTCACTGTTCGTGATAATGAACACTTTTCGGTTGTGCTCTCTTATTCGATGCAGAAGTACTGGCAGTCGCTCATCTTTGGCAATGTATTTCTTTGGGTCTTGGAGTGTTTCCTCTTTCAAAATGCCACACTGATGCACCCAGTCAACAGCAGCTCTCAGATCCTGATGAATACTCTTGTACGAGATGAAAATCGATCCACTTTCCACCCCTGTCAGGGTCTTTGAATAGGCCGGGTCGTTGTCAAAAATATCAACTAGACAAGCGAGTAAATAAATTTCCGGAAGGTTGAACAAGGTATTTAGGATTGGAAATCTGCCAAGGGCACTTGCAGATCCTCCAACTTGGATGAATTTATTAGGATAAGATTTGCGGATTTCTCTACTGTTGTAAAATTGATATCCATGGACGCACAGTAGTATGTTCCCGTACGTGTCTACTTTCAGCAAATTTCCAAGCTCGGTATCAAACATCATTCCACGAACAGGAAAACTAGGATCATATTGAACATTTTCCAACTCTTTAGGATACCCAACATTCATTAACCTTCTTTTGACATGTTCAAATGAAAGGATCTCGTAGGCAGGGGATTTGTAAACAGCAAGAGTGTAGTCCATATCGAATCCTATAAACTTGATGTTATTTAGGCTCAAACTTCGGTTAACGAAGATCCTCGTTGCTGGGTCGCGTTTATACATCCCGTCAAATACTGAGTTGGAGTCTTGTCTATTGTAAGTATACATGTGAACTTTGCTTAGCTTAGGTTTTTTGAACACGTTTGTTTCGTCGTTATCGGCGTCCCGAGGCCTCTCTTTTCCATTGTTTAACATCTCAAAATTATGTCCTTTCTGAAGATGGTGTCCTGTTAAAGATGGTGTCGTTTCAATATGGCTACCGTGGTCACGAAAGTGCTTTTGTTGACTGGTAATCCTGATCGTCAGGTTTTTCAAACTGTAAACTGGATTCTAGTTTCTTTCCTCAAGGTGCCTTAAAGCAATATCGGTTTTAAATACAATTAACAATTAAAGTCACCTGATCCCAAAGTTATTGCTACGTACAGGCAGGGTATTAACAATTGTTCGATCCCGTGATCAAAATTACATCTACTTATCAAATATCTTTGAGAGCTAACAGCTGAGAAAGGAAGAAATTACACGGATGAGAGATTGCAGGCTTTTGCGGGTGATACAATTGTCTGACACGTCAAAAGCGAGGCTCTTCAATTCTGTTTTTGTATATGAAAGAAATCTTTACTACAGAAAAATTCACCAAGAGGCTTCAAATTTCACACCCTAACATATGAAGGAGATTTCTTTATATTTGTGTATTTCAAAGTGGACAAGGGAACCATTAAGGGCAATTACTCCGTTCTATTCGGCCATCATTATCGTTGATATAATTGTTATCATAGGAATAACTTCCCTAGCGTCTTAGGGTCAGGGGGCTCACCAGAGTATTAAATTTTAACTTCAAAAAAGGATCAGTTACTTTTGTCTGTAATACGGCCCCATACTTTTATACAATGAATATTCATACTCTTTCCATGATGGTAAATCTGGAGTGATCGCCTTCTCTCAGTGTAAATACCCTTCTCTTCCATTATACTTCTCCTTTAGTCGCTTGTAAGGAAAACACATTACATTGTTTACAATATTGTTATTGATATCGTAATGTAGCAAGTGCTTCCCGGAACTGATTGTTATTGTATGTAATTTAATAATGTCATCATCTCTATATGAATCTTTGTACTCTGTTGTTTGTACAGTATGTCTGTTGTTCTGTCTTGATGTGTTGATTAACAAACTGTGATGTTGTATAGAATGATTAGATCTAAATTGTAAAGTTCAGTTGTTGGATTGAATATGAACATATGAACATATGAACTTGTATTTGTCTTCCTCGCTACAGTAATATGAGGCATTTTTCTAATACATACCCTGGGTAACAGAGCCTTCATAATTTTGTCTCAGAAATGATGCTCGAAACTAGTCAAAAAATACCTATTTGAGTCATTCTTTGCCACTGCATTGGTCTACAATACCTTATCCCCGGTTTCTTGAGGCTCTGGTACCCAGGGTAAGAAATTGGTTAAAAGGGGTAGGTTCGTATTGGCCATGTATATCCCAACTCTGATCCGCAGGCGAATCTAGTGTTTTGTGGTACCAGCTCTATTAGTGGTTACTGCTAAGAAACTTTCCCCATGCTTGACCGCTACTGACAAAGTGAAAGGTTGATGCTTAATGGAGCCGCGAATATTATTACACGCTCCCCTTTTTTCATCGAGTGACCACAATTAGCCTTTTCCAGAGTCATATAGGCTCTATGTTTAGACCTAGTCCTTTTTTGTAGTATTTTTTATCTTAAAGTATTCATTTCCTAATTCAGAAATTGTGATAGAGTCAAAATTAAGTTTCCTTGATTTATTTAGAGTGGTTTTACGGATTTACAATCATAGTCGAACCTTATGGTTCAATAGCCTTATTTTCTTACGTTTAATAGCCTTATTTTTTTGATTAAACATTTTTGATGACCTACCATAATTCCTCTAGGGTGGGCACTTATTCGAGGGGGACTTATATTTGAGAGAGGTGCTTGTTTGAGGCATTACGGTAAAAGTCCCTTTCGAAATTTTAACAGGTTTATTCCTTAATAATTCAACAGTATTTTCGATTGCGATGGCGACATGATCCAAATCCCTTTCAACCAAACGTAGGAATTCATGCATGTGATCGCTTTGCAAAATGTTGGCTATATCTTCACAAAAGAAATGATCACTTAAGAACTTTGCTTCATAGTCATTCTTCAATTGAGTTAGGTGTGGGAAAACTTCCAGAGGGTTAGAGACTTTTACAACCAACTGTAGAGGGACGTGATCCGAAAGATTATTCAAATTACAAATCGTAAATGATTGAATATTAACAAAAAGTTCCTCCTTAAGCAAGTCATGATCCACAACACTATTCCCATTTCTGTTAAAGCAGGTGAAGTTATTGGAGAGCGAGAAAGAATCAGCAGATCTACCATTAAGAATCCGAAAGCCGGAGGTTTTGCATAAATTTAAAAGATTGCGACCAGTTATATTCACAGCATTGTCTAGTGAACACCTTTGAGCACAAGCAGTAACGGGGCAGTAGTCTAAACTGAGAGGCAAGAAGCAATCCACCTCATTATCCACAACGTAATCAGGCTCACCACCAGTTCTTAGAACCAGTAAATTTATGTTCAGGCCGACCGAGGGAAAAATCACTCCAAGAAATCCTTGTACACCTTTTGTGAAAATCCTTTTGTTGTATCTGAAGATCCCTGGAAATCCTTTTGTTTTAGGGAAAATCTCGTACGCTATTTGCAAGAGTGAATTGCCCCTTGAGGCTTGCTGTTCTTAATTTTTTCTTAATTTGAAATCTTAGGCTGGATTGTTCTTAAATTGATAGAGTGCAAGCAATGCAATTGCTTGCTTTTTCGCTCTAAGGTTGTGTTCGGGCTTCATTTGCCAATTTGACTGAGACAACCTTCATTTGTCTCAATTTTTGAATAATGAATATTCACCGAAATAGCACCCACACATGGCAAAAATCCTCTTTGTTGAGATGAAACATTGCTTAAAATTTCATTTTACAGTAGCTCAGCCTCAGCTTTTGACTTTAATTTGTTTTTAACTTGTGACCAATTTTGAGGCTCGTGTTCTTACAAAGTTGTTTTAATAAAAAATAGGAGTGTACGAACACCCCCACAAAGATCATGAATATTTGATTAACTGCACAAACATAGCCTTTCAAGCAAAGATACATGAAAGATTGTAATTAACGTGTCCCCGACGAAGGAAGGGAGGAGAGGCCGGGATCCTCTTTTTGCAAAACAAAATATAATTTTTGCAAAGTCTTATGTTTTTATTCTTATGTTTGCCTTATGCCCCACATTTTCCAACCTGAGACGGAGCTCTTTGATCAATTAAGGATTGACAAATCTTGATCAAACCTGGTATAAGCTTAGAGAATCGTGATGTAGTTGTCGGGGGTGTTCATGATAAAACACAAGAGCATGCATCAGTTCATGGAGGACAATGCCTGTGCGGTCGCACCCATAGCCAATTGACACACTCTGATATCAACCTCTTGTTTTGCAACATAAGAATAGCATCTTAAAAATATAAAGACAAACTGAAGTTCGAAAAGTAACCAAAACAATGTTTGCTATACGTTAAAATTTTGGACAAAATTGTTTTTAACAAATTGAGCTTTAAAACTCTTTCAACAGTTAAATCTTTTTTTAGCAGCAAAGACCTAATCAATCATGTGTCTAGCAATGAGTTATAAAGAGAAGTTGGCTCCAACTTTTGAAAAGACTCAAATTATGAGGAGGTTGAACTGTTAGATCATACGAAAGAAAGAATAGCGGAAACTTGTATCCGAATACCGACAGATCAGCACTTTATGACAAGCATTTAAAGCATACACAGCACTTTATGACAAGCATTTAAAGCATACAAGATTAAAGCATCAGACTTTCCCTCTTCCTCTGATGAATTTTATTTAATGGAAACGACTAGGGAGAGACGCATTCGAAACGAATACATGTCTTCTTGTGAAAATCGGCAATCGCCCTATTGATGATTAACCTAGTAGAATGTGCTGCAGAGAAGAACAAAATAATCCAGCTTCAGACGAAAGCTAAAACTTCTATTCAAATGCTAAATTCTGAATTTTTCTGTTGCTTTATAAAACCACTTTAAATGCAGCTAGTTTGTGCAGGACTGTAATCTATTATGTGGGGTTGGGGTGTAAAGGTCTTACGCTGTATTGCGCAGACCTTTGCAAGAGGATTTCATGAGAGAAACGAAGAAATGAGATCTTGTTCTTTGCTTACATTCTTGATATCGTGCATATCCAAAAATCCCTATTTACAAAATCTCATGATATATATACTAACGGCATACAATAGATTAATTATATGATTGACATAAAACTAAACGAGGTACAAATGAAAACGAGGTTATACAATATAAGAAATATCCTGTTACAGGGGGGAGGGGGGGGGGTTGTCAGATTGGCAAATGAAAAGATTAAAACAATTTTCAAATGTTTCACTCATTTTCTTACCATGCGTATATAAAAATAGTAGGAGCTAGGGCTGTCCTACCCTGAGTGCCAGAGCCTCAGAGAGTCAATGGAACCATGAAACTCTCTCGAAGATTGAAGATAGGAAGTTGCAATCTTTTAGAACAATCTTTGCCATTCGACCAGTCAATGCTATTCGATCAGTCACGGCTATTCGATCCGTCACGGTTATTCGAATAGTCAACGCTATTCGATCAGTCACGGTTATTCGAATAGTCACAGCTATTCGATCAGTCACGGTTATTCGAATAGTCACAGCTATTCGATCAGTCACGGTTATTCGAATAGTCACAGCTATTCGATCAGTCACGGTTATTCGAATAGTCACAGCTATTCGAATAGTCAACGCTCCTGGAATACTTGACAAAATGGGGTTACAAACCCAAACAGACAAACAAACAAATACAGAAGGCTGCTAAAAAAACCAGACAAGACTGCCTCAGGACCACCAAACCACGCACTAATCATCGCACGCCTTTTGTTGTCACCTACCACCCAGCTTTGCCACAACTTTGACACCACCTACCAGGTATCCACCATACTCAGACAAAACCTTGACAAACTACAAAACTCTAACACATGTAAAGAAGCCTTCCCCGACGCACCCATACTTAGTTACCGCAGACAGAAAAACCTCCGGGATTTACTGGTTCGTGCCAAAATGAAAAATGCCACACCCAGTGATCCCATAGGTTCTTACAAATGCCACTCGCGACGTAACTGTTTAACATCCCAACATATCACAGACGGGACTACAACATTTAATTTTTCTAACACTGACAAAAACTACGACATAAAACAACGACCGGACTGCAACTCCACCAACGTCATATACGCATTACAATAAACGTCTACATAACGGAAACAAAAACTGCCAATACATCGGACAAACTAGCAGACGACTTAAAGACAGATTTAACGAACACCGACGAGACATTATCAACAAAAAAGAAGACAAGTCTGGAGTTGCAGAACATTTCTGCAGCCCAGCACACACCACACCATCAACGACCTTGCCATCACACCATTACTTTGGCCCTATTCGCACTGCATCTAGAAACCTGATAATGCTAATCCCTTATTGTTCTATCTTCAAAGGCGGCAAGGGTTCGTCAGGAAGTAGCTTAATTGGTAGAGTGCGAGCAGCAAAATCTGAAATCTGACAAATTGTAACGTTTCGACTAATTGGTCAAAGGTTCCGTCGTAGGGCTCTGGAGCATCACAATCTTGTGAAAATCTATGATAACCAGCGGGTGACTCGACGGACATGCCAGAATTATGTTAACACCAATAAAAAAGTCCAAGGTGCTATTTGAAATCATATCACGATTTAAAAAGGTACAATTTCTTAATGGCAACCTGATAACGTGTTAGATAACAATACAACATCTCAGAAAACTGCCTAATGCGAACAGAATTCTGACAAACTTTGTTAATCATGAAAAGTTTTTTTAATTGGCGTGCGAATATCGGGTTTGACAAACATTATCATATTTGCAGTGCGAATAGGGCCTTTGACTTAATGACAAACGAGAGAGTGTTCGTCAAGCTAAGGAGCAATATCTCATTGGCCTGGCGAACACCCTCACCCCCAACGGCATGAACAGAACTACCGACCGTTAACTTTACAAAACAGCTCATCACCCTCAACTTATCACGCCGCCCTCACAACCCACACCATATTTTCCCTGCCCATTATAATCATCATCACCACTATAACTATCATCAACATTCCATTATTCTCAGTTCCATCACAAAAAATTTTTTCTTTTTTTTCCTCATATTCACAGTCATCATTATCATTTCATTGCATCAATCTCCATAGCACCACCCACATCCCCTTACATCACCCACCACCCTTCCCGCTCCCACTTCCATCATCCCATTCTTTTTCCACTGCGGTGCATTCACACCATTCAACATCCACCAATCCGGCACCACCATCTCACATTTCAAATCCATTCACTCGTTCGTTTCATTTACTCTGATGAAGCCCTGTATGCCGGGGCGAAATATCAGTATATTCTTTAAATTTAATCTATTTTGAAAATTTTATTTCGTGACATTGGATTCTCGTCGTCGTATTGCTTTGTTCTTGTATATCTTTTATTCAAACAACCATTATGGACCTCCAACAGTGAGGTTATTCGCACTTTTCGTCTCCAACCGAATAATCGTACTATTCGAACTATTCGCTTGTAACCGAATATTCGCTTTGGGCTTCAGCTAACCGAATAGTGAAACAGGTAACCGAATACCGATTATTCGACCTTCTGTGGACAGGCCTAGTAGGAGCATCTTGGTAGAGCGAAACAGGGGTTAAGCTAGAGAAGGATGGCTCTGTGTCCCTCGTTTCGAGCCACAACGACGGATCTTGATAGCATGATACAGCAAAACCTCTTTATGGAAATCAGGGACTTTTCTTTTCCCTAAGAATTGATTTCAAACATTGTTTGAATGATATTTCATCGGTTTTTGATTAGAAGATTGCACAATCGGTGTATTCTTCAACATTTTCTGTTAACAGACCTATTTATCGCTAGAGTCACTTTTCTGAAGTAGCAGTTTTCTTTTCCAACTAGCAGTAGCCTGTGCTGATTAGGGTACTGGAACACAGGTTAATTAATTAACAGCTGTTTTGACACATGGTTCTTACGATGCTGAAATTAGTGCTTCCCTAAAAATTTCAGAGTCGTGGCGTTTATGGGGCTGAGGGGGGTTGCGGCCTCAAATAACCTGCAGAGTACACTGTATTTTATCAAAATTTGCTGTGACTTTTGCGAGGCATTATGAAATCATATTGTAATATCAGTGTGAAATCATATTGCAAAAAGGAATCTGAGAGCATCAACTTGCAATCTTACATATCAAATATTAAAGGCATTGAGTCATGATAAATAGACTGGGTATACCCTAAGTGCCAAAATCCGCTGAGTCATGATTTCCATGACTGCGATGCTATTGGTTGACCTTGAACTGGTCACATGAACTCACCTCGAACTGATTGACAAAACAATTTCTATCAATAGCAAGTTGTCAACAACGGATGCAAATATCACATGAAACAGCAGCGATCACGCGGAAACCAAATGACCCCCTATAGAGAAGGCCTATTTACCATGACTCAATGCCTTTAATATTGCTTTTAATTTTAGAGTTGAAGAGCCACACTTGTAGTGGATATGCTCGATTGTACCATTATTATTATTATTATTATGATTTATTATTATTATTATTATTATTATGGTTGAGATTTTCAAGCTTTATGGAAAAACACCAGTAGTGGGATGAAGCTGCAATACGACATTTACCGTAACACCAAAGATGTACTGAAAGCAGTAAAATCAGACAGTAGAGAGCGCTTGGCACACCAATTACTATCCCAGGGTGCTATTATTTCATTTCTGTTGGACCACTCTCTTAAAAAGCTCAATGGTGTTTGGTCTGTTGTGCAGAGCAACCTACCCACGAACATCTTCAACTTCACCATCAAGTATCTGAACAATATTCTCCCTACGCGCAAAAATCTAAGCCTTTGGAACCTAAGCCAATCATCTGATTGCGAATTCTGCCTTCTTCCCGAAACTTTACTCCATGTCGTTGCAGGTTGCAAAGTTTATCTCGAACAAGGTCGTTATACCTGGCGTCATAATTCTGCTCTAAATTTTCTTGCAACCTCCTTGAAAGCAATAGAGGGATCCTCTCTTTTTGCCGATATACCTGGCTTCTCCTCACCATCCATCATAACTGGAGACAATCTGCGCCCAGATCTACTTCTGCGTACAAAGGAAAACATTCTTTATGTTTTGGAACTAACGATAGGATTTGAAACTAACCTTAACTGCAATGCAGAAAGGAAACGTTTAAAATATGCTCGCCTTGTCTCAGATCTAAGACCAAGGTTCAAATCTGTCATATTTGTAAATCTCTCCATCAGCTCTCTTGGCATCTTCGGCGACTCATGCAGCTCATTCCTTGAAATGTGTGACTCTCTTTCCATCGATGATCAACACAAACGATACCTCATTTCTAAGCTTTCTACGATATCCATTCGTACCACCTATTACATTTTTTGCTGTAGGAACAAAACATGGACTAACCCAGAGCTACTCCCCTTTTAACGTTTTTTTTCTTTTCTCTTTACTACGATTGTAATAGTCTTACTTTGTGAAAACAGGCTAGCCAGTTACAAATTACCTTGTAATAGTGAGATTTGTAATTGTATTATTATGGAAGCTGTGAGGAATAATGCGTGATATTTGCTCTATTTGCCAGATCTTTGCTCTATTTCGAACTGTGTTTCTCTTTTTGATTCCATTTTCGACTGATTCGACTGTTGCAGGGGGCATTATATCAACTAGGCCTTTTGCTCCATCAACTAAAAGGAAAGTCAGTCAACGCTTTTACAAAATCGTGTTCAAAGTAACTAAATTAAACAGGTCATAGATTATCTGGGTTTTATTGTCAATTGCCTTCACATCCTTTCAGGTGTTGTTATTAATTTCATGCCCAGAGTGAAACATAAAGACTAAGACTTTTATAGTCATAACACGGCCAGAAGTACCCTGGGTACCAGACTCACTATTTATAAAATAATTTTATATAGTGAGTCTGGTACCCAGGGTAGGCCAGAAGGTACCCAAAGGGCCCTGGCCCTGGGCCAACCACCAAGAGGGGCCCTCCCATCAATATAGCCAAAAACTTTTAATACAGCCATTATAATTTTAATACAATTTGTAGAAGACTGACCATTATTAGACACAAATCACTAAAACATGTTTATATGATATATATACACTTACGTGACAAAAGTATTAGGACGATCCTCAACGCACATGTGGTTAACCATTTGCCCAAAGAACAACATAGAAAATCGGTGGAACATGTCGAGATTGCTGGTTGAGATTTTCACTTGCAATTTTACCCGATTGTGAAAAAAAGATAAATTTAATTGTAATTGTAAGAAATAGAATTTTTAGATAGGTACAATTTGATTTATTTTATATTTTGCCGGATGACCTCTAGGAATCTGTCAGCCGCCATTTGCACTGGAACTCGCTGAATTAATTTTGCAACGAAATATCTTCGGATACAGTAGGGAATCTCAAGAAAATTCTAAAAGAGTTTATTTTTTGTCTTAGAAGATTTCATTGCTTGGATTTTTTTACAAAAACTAGTTGTTTTTCAAATGCATCAAGGCTTTGACTTTGACGGGGTTATTGAAAAACCATGATGCAACTTGCTGCAACCAAACTTTCTGGTAGTTTCAACAAACAATTGACTTAGACGCAAATATTCTACTGCTTCTCGTTCTCTTTTTGGTCGCTTTTGTGTTTTCGGCATTGAAACTAAAACATTGAAATTTTCTATTTCTTCCTGACATATATATATATATATTTCTATATATATATATATATGTATATATTTATATATATATATGTATATATATATGTACATATACATTGAATATATTGTATACATTGTATACATTGAATATGTAAGAAGCTATTAAGTTTATCTCTTCTCTCAACCAACGTCTGCAAGCATATAAAGAGACATAAAGCCAATTAGATCTTTTTGAGCCATCTGAACGAACTGTTTTCAAACGAGGTGCAAGCCGCAGCTGAACAACTCTTCAGGTCATATCCAGACCCATCTATTGTTGAACTCTGTCAGTTTGTAACATTTACCAATATCTTCACAGATGTGTTGCGAATTTGGGTTCAACAGAGGGAAGGTTTGAAGCAAAAGAGAGACAACGTGTTTCAGCGAACTCTGTTAATCAAAAGCTATTAGAGACCTCTAGCATGTGGTTATAAACATAAGCTAATAACGCAAAACAATAAGCAATTACTATACGCTTGGGTTAATACACATTAGGGTTAACAAAGAGAGATAGAGTTCTTAAGTGTGACGTCACAAAAAGCTATTTTTAGAATCTTAACCACATACATAGCATAAAAGAACATCATGTAATACTTCCAATGATGCAAGTTCAGTCAAATATGTCTATACTCGGGTGAGATATGGTCAATGAAAGATTTCAAATTTGCTAACGAATCATTGTTATTTTCGTTCACCCGATTGGAAATAAAAGACTATGATTGGTCAGGTTACAAAAGGGTTCAAGTTAAATTTGGACCGCCAACAAATTCTTAGGTTCATCATTCTTTGATATCATCCATCCAATCAGAATACAAGAACGTTAAAATAATCAATGCAAAGAACGATGAAAGGCTAATCTTTATTTCAAACGACCAGTTGATTCTTTTTCGACTTCTTATGAATCCTTCTCAACTTCTATTTGATATTCCTCGACCTCCTTGGTTGCTGACCCGTCAGTTGATGCAGGGACATCATCGTCTGGACGAAATGTAGAATCATGTATATATTATTTTATATTGTTCTATCAAAACAATCACTTAAATTGCTATTCGCTCGTCTACAAGTAAAAATCATCTTAAATAAAGGTAGAATAAAAACCTGCTGAAGCTTCCTCTGCCTCCTCGGCCTCTTCCCTAGACAATGTAATGACGTCATCTGCAAACACAACATGGACCTTTAGAACAATCTTCTCTAGATAATGCAGTTGTTTGTACGCTTAAATGATTTTTTCACAATTTTTCTATTGTGAGAATCGAGTAAATTGCTTACTAGTTTCACAGCAAAGTAATTGTTACATGCTTTCTCAGCACTTTTAAAGCAATTTATTCGCTAGACTTTTAAAAAGTCTTTAGCCAGCGTATATTGTAAGAGATGAATGTCTATTTTGCAAGAGTACATGTAGGTTTAGATACCACTATGCAGGAGATTGGGTAGTAATGATGTCACAGAAACATTTATATAGCATTGAGCTTACCAGAGGTGCAAGACCTAGATCTTCTTTGCGTCCCGTATCTACCTGCACCTGGACAAAGTTTGCGATTCTCTCTGAAACAGAATCGTTGGCTATACTCCTTTCTTCCTAAGCCATAATCAATGCAAGGACTCCAGTTCGACCAGCTGCTCCAGTCATTATAAGCGCTGCTTGCTAATGTAAGGAAAGTACACAAAATTATTGCAGCATGACTTGACGCGGAAGATTTCAGTGAGGAGACTCTCGAGTATTTTACACCCCTCTCCCCTAGCACCAACTTCCACAGACCTGGCACTTTCATTATGATCGATTAACTAACTTTAATCTATTCATTAGCAAACCTATCTTAATGCTTTTACGGTATATGCCTCACTTTTGTAAACAATTTGAGATTGATAGATATAGGTATTGATAGATATAAACACAAGATAAATCTGTAATCTTCAACGAACTGGACTCACTTTTGCAATCATACAGTGCATTGATCTGTAGCAGATCAGTTTTGCTGAAGCCTCTTCTTTGTCCTATATGCCCACCCTTTCCTAGCTTAATAATCGTGGGACTCCTGAAATTCTTTGTGAATGCGTAGGCTCCATAATGCATCACTCCATCGTAGTCATACGGCAGACCAAGAGTAGTCATGTCTTGAATTCGGTTTTTCTTGAAGTTGAGATCTGTACCTGCAACGTCATGCAAACTAGATGTCACCTTTATGTCCAGTTTTACCTAAAGGTTCTATAGCTTTCAATGCATTTAAGATCTTTTTTCAAGATTTAAAGGTACTTAAACAATCTGGAAAATAGTTGTTACCAAAATTCCTAGAATCTCTAATAGCTATCAAAGGTGAGTCAAGCAAAGCATCCTCTTGAAAAGAACTGTATAATCTAGAGTTTTTCAATGAAAACAAATTTGAACTACTGTTGGTCAAAAAGCAAGTATAAAAAAGCAATATGAAGCAATGTTGAAAACATACCCGGCAAAATGTTCGAGAACTGAATTTTGATATACTTGTCCCTATCATAACGACTGTGCTCATGGTAAAACCCAAGAGCATGCATAATCTCGTGAATAATGGTGCCGTATCTTCCACATCTATACCCAATTGATACAGGTTGATATCGTCCTCTCGTCTTACCCACCGATGAATAGCACCTTTAAGGAGATTCGCAATTTGTTATCATTGGCTTTCACAAAGAAAAATGCAATGTCCATAACGTTTAAGCAGCTAATTGTAGTTCGATATAGAGCAAAAAGACAGCAATAGAGTTATACCAAACAATAAAAGGAGATTAGAAGAAGCATTGAAAATGCATTCAATAATGTATTTTCCAGGAAATTCCAGGTCAAAAGATTTAGAATTCGTGTTGAAGAAGTTTGACTGTACAGAACTATGGGAAATTGTTTTGCATTGACTTTCCTTCCAGGATATTCATTTAGCTATAAATTGATAATGTTTTTTTAGTCTTGCAAGACTTTTTATTCTAATGCTACTGATGCAACTCACCCTCTTCCTCGGAAGAATTTAATATAATGTTCACGAGTGTACGTTGAGACTCCCTTGAAACGGAGGCAAGTCTTTTTCTCAAATTCCTTTATAGCCTGCGTAATTTTCCTTCGAACATATGATGCTACGATAAAATTGACAATAAGAAGCTTATAAACAGCTAAACGGTGTAGAAAAAAGACTGCTAAGTTAGCTAACTTAACTTTGATGTCTTTCGTACGACTCAGTTCTTTTGTAGACAATTTTTTTTACTGTGTCCAATATATTATACTCATCCAGTAGAGAATTAGCGAGATTTGCTGAATATTTTGCTGGCAACAAAATTAAACTAAATTATACTATTCGAGTAGAGAGAAGAAAAGATTTGGGTCAGAGCTCGTTTCATGGTTGCAATGGTTGCAATTGTGTACTTTCTGTAGATGATTTAATTCAAGTTTCTTTAAAAGAAAGTTATGCAAAAGAAACTTTAGAAGAGAGTGGGGTAAGGGGTTGGCCCTCTGAGGAGCCTCACTCTGATATTAAGGACAGCACCTCTTCCTATAGAGTCTCTTTTATGGGGTTTTGTCTCAACTTTGGTGCAAGTGACGTCTGTTGTACTTACGTATCGAGCGATCAATGTGGTATGGAATGACACGCGTCCTCCATATTTGGCCTCTGTTGCGCACTGCATTTCGTTTCTCGTTTTCGTTTCTATCTGCAGCCGCATTCACAGTTGTTGGTGGCAGAATATCACCATCAGTTAGGCCTTTGGCCCCTTCAACTGTAAGAAAACCCGGTACATGTCATGTTTCGATGAAAACTGGAGACATAGTAGTATGATTTGCATATGCAGTGAATTGAAAGGAAATTGGTGTCGTGTCGTCCAAAACGAAGAAAATAACGAAACAAGTGTACCGGCTTCTAATATCAGTCTACAACAAACTGTCACGACTCTTGTACCTCTTGTAGTTACTTATATCTCTAATAATGATACTGATCAGATTAAAGAGAGAGTTGAGCTGCCAAAAATCTGGCACACTTTTTAGCAGACAAACAGGAAGATCTTCCAAGGAGCTAGGTAGGAGGCATGTAAAAATTTTAGACACAATTGGTCAGAAACCACTTATCATGTAAGAATGGCATCCTTTGAAATAACTTTAAAAGAGGGCATGTATGTCATTGAGCTTAAAGGTCACATTTAAATCAGAGTTGAAATGAAAGTTCAAAACACCAACGGTAATCTAACTAGCCATATTTTTGCCAAAACAATGGTGGGGCAAGCGCTTTTGTAGCCTCAGAGGGGGCCAGTCAGCCTTGAAAGGAGGTTAGAGACCCACAGCTGTACAATATTCCCCCTGCAGCAGATAGGCCATCAATGTTTCATTGTATTAGAAATTTACTTTTATTGATCTCGTCGATCTCTTCTGCTATCGCTGTCTTTGGAGGCAGCCATGAATCTGGGTTTTCCTCTGGGTCTTTGCTTTTGGATTCATCTTCCTCTTCAGCCACTAAAATGGAATATACAATACTGTCTATCGGTAGATTTCAATACCTGGAATAACAAACACCTGTTCACATTGCTAGGTTGGCCCCATTCTATGCCTGTTCAAGAATATACCTTTTCTGAATGGATTTCGGAAAATGCCGATTCTTGAATCAGAAGCGAGAGAAAGCCGAATAGACCAAGTGTCTTAATTAGGAGAAAACGTAGAAAAAGCCAATTGCGACCGTATCCGTATTGAATTTTCCTATGTTTTCTCCTAATTAAGTGCGTAACTGTATCAGTCCAAGATTCAATTCTAAGCACTTATGTGCAACAAAGATGCAGAACGTATCTGGTTTCATCAACTTTAAGATTTTACGTATCTGGTTTCATCTATTTTTCATTTGTTGCCTCATGGGGTTCATATACGCAAAAAACGAGACTTCAAATACGACAAGGAGGCTGATGGCCCCCTGAAAGTTACTGTATAATATCAATTTTCGAAATTAGCACCCACAAATTGACCAAAACCACTTCGTCGCTTTTGCGTTATCATTCCCTTGTTCTCCGCCTGGGCTATTAGACCTGTCCAGCTTTTTGAGATACAGTTTGATTTCATAATCAAGATTGACGTCCATGCTTTTTACTACACTGAAAAACCCTTAACTGATAATAATCAGCAACATAAAATTTGTAAGCTTTATGCCAAAATTTTTTGGTTGCTTGCACGCTCCTGGTAAATTTTCAGTGAATCAACAAGCCCAAAAAGAGGGTGTAAAATTTAGAAATGTCATACAATTGCTTCCCTACTGTCATTCACTGTATTAAACGTGAAAATCTTCACTTGCTAAGCACAACCAGTGTAAAATAACGAAATTTTGCAAGGTGATGCAATAACAATTAAAAGCTCACTTTCATGAGAAAGTTCAGCTCATGATGAGCCATGCACGAGCTGTTTTCAAATCAGTTGAAGGTGTAAACTCTATTAGTGTTTGTATAATAAAATCTCAACACTCGCTGAACTCAACACGGCATCTGATCCCGGGCTGAAATTTCAACACGAGCTTAGATTTTGACACAAAAGGCAGCATCTTTAAGTTCGGTGTGTGTTTGAGTCAAAGATCTTCAGTGTCAGGGTATAAACGTCAGATTATGACCAAAGGTAAGGAGTTAAGTTCCGGTTTGTATCGAAAATAACGCGAGGGCAAGAAAAACGCGTTTGATTGGCCGTTTTGAAGAGAATGTATTTGGCTCTTTCTTTTATTGAAAGATTCTCCATTGAAGAGCAGATATGTTCACAAAGGCTTTACATGAAATTCCAACAACAAGATATTTTTACATGTTGTTAGAATTTAGGTACGGTTAATGGAAAAACTGATACTTTACTTTACTTTTCTTTGATAACCCATCATTCCCCTTATTGCCATTTAATAGCAAAATAGATTTTCAGCCATCAGTCTTTGCTTCATTTTTCTTCTTCTTCATTTCGTCCTTCTATCTCTTCAAAGATCACATTCAATACCCACATTCAAACGTATTCCAAAGTTTACTATCATCGTTCTCTATCTAAATATGCAAATGCCCCTTTTTAAATTAAATTGAACAGCGCATGTTCGCGAAAGTTTATAGACAGATTATCGAAGAAATAACATTTTACCAGGAGCGGTATCTTTGCTAACTTTCTTTGGGTCAGATTTTGAGATGTCGTCGCTAACTTCCTTTGGGTCAGATTTTGAAGGATCATCAACTGAAACACAAAGATTTTTAGTGACATAAGCTGACATGCTTTGTACTTGAGAACTTTAGTAAAAGATTTACAAAGAGTCAGATATTTTTCTCCAAGCTTCTTTTACAAAAATTGAAATTGGATGATGACCTTGCTCAGTGATGCCTAATGCCTAGCAACAGGGAAATTGGTGGTTCTCAGGACAATGCTTTTTGGAAATAAAAGACCATGATTGGTCAGGTTACAACAGGCTACAAGTTAAATTTTAACCGCCAACAAATTCTTAGGTTCATCATTCTTTGATATCATCCATCCAATCAGAATACAAGAACGTTAAAATAATCAATGCAAAGAACGATGAGAGGCTAATCTTTATTTCAAATAACCCGTTGATTCTTTTTTTACTTCTTCTGGATTCTCCTCATCTTCTACTTGATACTTCTCGACCTCCTTGGTTGCTGACCCGTCAGTTGATGCAGGGACATCATCGTCTGGACGAAATAAAGAATTATGTATCTATTATTTTATATTGTTCTATCAAAGCAATCACTTAAATTGCTATTCGCTCGTCTACAAGTAAAAATCATCTTAAATAAATATAGAATAAAAACCTGCTGAAGCTTCCTCTGCTTCCTCGGCCTCTTCCCTAGACAGTGTAATGACGTCATCTGCAAACACAACATGGACCTTTAGAACAATTTTCTCTAGATAATGCAGTTGTTTGTACGCTTAAATGATTTTTTCACAATTTTTCTATTGTGAGAATCGAGTAAATTGCTTACTAGTTTCACAGCAAAGTAATTGTTACATGCTTTTTCAGTACTTTTAAAGCAATTTATTCCCTATATTTTTTTAAAAAACTACGTTAAGAATAAAAGAAATTTTTTTCTGAGATCGTCACGTCTTTAGCCAGCGTATATTGTAAGAGATGAATGTCTATTTTGCAAGAGCACACGTAGCTTGCGATAGCACTATGCAGGAGATTGGGTAGTAATGATGTCACAGAAACATTTATATAGCATTGAGCTTACCAGAGGTGCAAGACCTAGATCTTCTTTGCGTCCCGTATCTACCTGCACCTGGACAACGTCTGCGATTCTCTCTGAAACAGAATCGTTGGCTATACTCCCTTCTTCCTAAGCCATAATCAATGCAAGGACTCCAGTTCGACCAGCTGCTCAAGTCATTATATGCGCTGCTTGCTGATGTAAGGAAAGTACACAAATTATTGCAGAATTACTTCACGCGGAAGATTTCAGTGAGGAGACTCTCGAGTATTTTACACCCCTCTCCCCTAGCACCAACTTCCACAGACCTGGCACTTTCATTGTGATCGATTAACCAACCTATTTATTAGCAAAACTATCTAAATGCTTCCAATTTCCACAAAATTTCCAAATCAAAATATTCGATAATCATCTCTCAACTTATACAAGAATGGAAATTGCTCCCTTTTAAAGCTTTTTCAAGTTCACTTTGAACAAAGAAACAGTCTGAAATCATTGTTGACAAAAAACCTTCTAAAAAACTGTCTCTACTATTTTTGTGATCGAGTGGATACGAACTAAAACCAGGTAGAGGAGCAGTTTCCCTTTTGTTCAATTTTCTTTCAACATTTGCGTTATTTAGTTTCCAGATTATGTCTTCGTAATGTATCGAAAATCCATCGTACAAATTCTATTAGGTCTTGTATCTATAGATTTAGCCGGGCATTTACGGTATATGCCTCACTTTTGTAAACAAATTGAGATTGACAGATATAGGTATTTGAGACACTCATACCACAGGCATCAAAGTAGCTTTTGCCACTAACTTATTCCCTTGCATTTTGCAATCAGGCTACAGCTAATATAAACACAAGATAAATCTGTAATCTTCAACGAACTGGACTCACTTTTGCAATCATACAGTGCATTGATCTGTAGCAGATCAGTTTTGCTGAAGCCTCTTCTTTGTCCTATATGCCCACCCTTTCCTAGCTTAATGATCGTGGGACTCCTGAAATTCTTTGTGAATGCAAAGGCTCCATAATGCATCACTCCATCGTAGTCATACGGCAGACCAAGAGTAGTCATGTCTTGAATTCGGTTTTTCTTGAAGTTGAGATCTGTACCTGCAACGTCATGTAAACTAGATGTCACCTTTATGTCCAGTTTTACCTGAAGGTTCTATAGCTTTCAATGCATTTAAGATCTTTTAACAAGATTTAAATGTACTTAAACAATCTGGAAAATATTTGTTACCAAAATTCCTAGAATCTCTAATAGCTATCAAAGGTGAGTCAAGCAAAGCATCCTCTTGAAAAGAACTGTATAATCTAGAGCTTTTCAATGAAAACAAAGTTGAACTACTGTTGGTCAAAAAGCAAGTATAAAAAAGCAATATGAAGCAATGTTGAAAACATACCCGGCAAAATGTTCGAGAACTGAATTTTGATATACTTGTCCCTATCATAACGACTGTGCTCATGGTAAAACCCAAGAGCATGCATAATCTCGTGAATAATGGTGCCGTATCTTCCACATCTATACCCAATTGATACAAGTTGAAATCGTCTTCTCGTCTTACCCACCGATGAATAGCACCTTTAAGGAGATTCGCAATTTGTTATCATTGGCTTTCACAAAGAAAAATGCAATGTCCATAACGTTTAAGCAGCTAATTGTAGTTCAATATAGAGCAAAAAGACAGCAATAGAGTTGTACCAAACAATAAAAGGAGATTAGAAGAAGCATTGAAAATGCATTCAATAATGTATTTTCCAGGAAATTCCAGGTCAAAAGATTTAGAATTCGTGTTGAGGAAGTTTGACTGTACAGAACTATGGGAAATTGTTTTGCACTGACTTTCCTTCCAGGATATTCATTTAGCAATAAATTGATAATGTTTTTTTAGTCTTGCAAGACTTTTTATTCTAATGCTACTGATACAACTCACCCTCTTCCTCGGAAGAATTTAATATAATGTTCACGAGTGGACGTTGAGACTCTCTTGAAACGGAGGCAAGTCTTTTTCTCAAATTCCTTTATAGCCTGCGTAATTTTCCTTCGAACATATGATGCTACGATAAAATTGAAAATAAGAAGCTTATAGACAAACAGCTAAACGGTGTAGAAAAAATACTGCTAAGTTAGCTAACTTAATTATGATGTCTTTCGTACGACTCAGTTCTTTTGTAGACAATCTGTTTTACTGTGTCCAATATATTAGACTCATCCAGTAGAGAATTAGCGATATTTGCTGAATATTTTGCTGGCAACAAAATTGAATTAAATTATACTATTCGAGTAGAGAGAAGAAAAGATTTGGGTCAGAGCCCGTTTCATGGTTGCAATGGTTGCAATTGTGTACTTTCTGTTGATGATTTAATTCAAGTTTCTTCAAAAGAAAGTTTTGCAAAAGAAACTTTAGAAGAGAGTGGGGTAAGGGGTTGGCCCTCTGAGGAGCCTCACTCTGATATTTAGGACAGCCTCTCTTCCTATAGAGTCTCTTTTATGAGGTTTGATATATGAACTAGCTTTTGTCTCATCTTTGGTGCAAGTGACGTCTGTTGTACTTACTTATCGAGCGATCAATGTGGTATGGAATGACACGCGTCCTCCATATTTGGCCTCTGTTGCGCACTGCATTTCGTTTCTCGTTTTCGTTTCTATCTGCAGCCGCATTCACAGTCGTTGGTGGCAGAATATCACCATCAGTTAGGCCTTTGGCCCCTTCAACTGTAAGAAAACCCGGTACATGTCATGTTTCGATGAAAACTGGAGACATAGTAGTATGATTTGCATATGCAGTGAATTGAAAGTAAATTGGTGTCGTGTCGTCCAAAACGAAGAAAATAACAAAACAAGTGTACCGGCTTCTAATATCAGTCTACAACAAACTGTCACGACTCTTGTACCTCAGTTACTTATATCTCTAAACATGATACTGATCAGATTAAAGAGAGAGTTGAGCTGCCAAAAATCTGGCACACTTTTTAGCAGTCAAACAGGAACATATTCGAAGGAGGTAGGTAGGAGGCATGTAAAAATTTTAGACACAATTGGTCAGAAACCACTTATTATGTAAGGATGGCACCCTTCGAAATAACTCTAAAAGAGGGTATCTGTGTTATGGAGCTTAAAGGTCACATTTAAATCAGAGTTGAAATGCAGGTTCAAAACACCAACGGTAATCTAACTAGCCATATTTTTGCCAAAACAATGGTGGGGCAACCGCTTTTGTAGCCTCGGAGGGGGCCAGTCAGCCTTGGAAGCAGGCTAAAGATCCACATCTGTACAATATTCCCCCTGCAGCAGATAGGCCATCAATGTTTCATTGTATTACAGAAACTTACTTTTATTGATCTCGTCGATCTCTTCTGCTATCGCTGTCTTTGGAGGCAGCCATGAATCTGGGTTTTCCTCTGGGTCTTTGCTTTTTGATCCATCTTCCTCTTCAACCACTAAAATTATATATACAATTCGCAATTTCAACCTAATCTATGTTCTTTTTACCCAAGAAACTGCAACTCCCAAATAAGAAATAAAATGATTTGTTTTGTGAAGAGCTCTCTTTAGAATGTCAAATACCATCTTAAAAATTTCTTTCCACAGCCATATCTAGGACCACTCGTATTCTTTTATACATTGAGACAACTAACAGAATTCTTTCTGAGTTCGACCCAAAAATGTTGTACCTAACCAGCTTGATGAGGTTGGCTTACAGTTAGATTTCCAAGCAAAATTGACGTCCATGTTGTTTATACTAAATTGAAAAACCGTAGATTGATAATGATTAGCAACATAGAATTTGTAAGCTGTATATCAGTCTTTGTTATTGCCAGCATGCTCATTGACAATTTTTTCAATGAATCAACAAGCTCATAAAGAGGGTATAAGATGTCATACCATCATAGCCTACTTTCTCGGTAGCATCGATTTCATCAAGAGTACTTTCAACATCTTTATTTTCGTCGTTGCTATCATCTAAAAGAATAATTATGCATTGGAAAAAACGAGATTAACCAGCATTTGTCTGAAGGATCGTCAGCTTTTCAAACTTTGGCATCATATGAACATACGCATTTAGAGGCACAATGTCCCGTCAGTCACCCGTACAGAGTAACCAATAGTTTTTGCATCATTTTATAAATGCAAGGTACAATTTTACAAAAACGCATTTGCACAATTTTGACGGTAACGGCACCCCATATTTAAGTGCTCGTACCTTACTTTTGCCTGCAGTCTTGTAAAGTGTGTTTACAAAGTAAGGATGTGTGTCTGTCAGCCTGGGCCGCAGAGGTCTTTCAGGTAACAATAATAAGATCAGGCCAACTGCGGGTAGCTTTGCAGAATTAGAAACTGCCACCAAAAAAGTTTTGGTGTTGCTAAACTGCAAAAACCCAAAAACCAAGATCATTTTTGTATTGTTTTGTGTTCAGGATTTTAAGTCATCAGGAGGCTCAATTTAGGCTTAGCCTAGCCCCTGTTTCCGCAGTCCCTGGCATAGATTAGATTTAGAATTGCGTCTTAATTTTTCAATTTGCTTTCATTTCTTACCAACAATTCTCATCAGGAGTTTTTAAACTAAATTAGCGTTGCCTATAAGTTTTGGAATGAGGGGTGGGGGAACTGTTGGTTATATGTCCGATAATTTGAAGAATGTTCTATTCAGAAGGAAATTCTATTTACAAATGATTTCAGAACCTTCTTTGCATCGGCAGTAAGCTATTTTTGGCAAGTTGCGAATTTCTAATTTACCCGCAATACACATTTTATTTACGAGTAGTTTCGATCCCATGCATTTACTAAATCCTATTTCAGTTTGTAGTCATCTGAATTCTGGAGTTTGATTTGGGCTTAAAAAGTCTTCCGAAACGTAGAGCAGTACAGTTCTCGCTTTTTACTGTTCTTTTAGCTTATAAAACAATTTTATGTAATCTCTACATATTAAAATATGCTCATTAAATTTCTGAAGTAGTTAGATTTTACAAATCACAGCACCTTCGCAGATAGCCTGTGCTCCAGACCCCAAACTTGAAAGTATTACTATATTTGATTTACAAGAAAATAAAACAAATTTAAGGCTTTCTACCCACTAGGCTGGATTCCTTTTTTAAAGTTAAAGCCCAGCTGAGTTTTTCTGTAGAAAAAGGACGATACATTTAACAATGGCATCGCACATTTTCTACTCCAAAGTCATTGCACATTGTCAAAATACATTGTTCCTTACAACTGGGAATCGACTTACCGTAAATTCTTTTTTAAGCCCCTACTCTCAATTTAGCCCCCCCCCCCCTCCAAAAAAATGTTCACTGATGCTGGAATAAGTAAACTTGACAAAAAACAGAGTTTTTCATTTAATTCATTGGTTGTTTGATACTTCGAATTAAATCAAAATACGAAGACAAAGATTTAGTGTGCAAGGCCGTGTGAGAGCTTTTTACCAAATTAACAGGCCGCTGGTACTCCGAAGGATGAAGTCAACCTTTTCGAATGCTCGATTTCAGAAGGCGACATGGCCCAAGAAGATATTTTAGAATTAATAATTGATGATGATGACGATGACAATATTATTGATAAAAAAGGCTGATTGGATGTTTATTATTTCGCAAATAACAAAAAATTAGTTTACCACTATAAATGGTCTTTTATTATAAAATATTCATTAAGCCCCCTCTCTCAATTTAGCCCCCCTCTTTTATAAGCCCCCTGTAAAGTGCTGAAAAACAATAAGCCCCTGGGGGCTAAAAAGAGAATTTACGATAATGAATATCAACCTTTATAGCTATCTATCTTAAAGACATCTTTCCAGTTTTACGGTCCTCGCTACCAAACTAGCCGAAAGAATGTCGAAGGATAGATGAATTAAAAAAAGATTATACCACCCTCGAACGGTAAGTCATGCTACTGCAGATTGGGCAAACATTATATTCAAAACATTGGTTTTTGTCTTGTATGTTATGTTATGCATTCTTCTTACCGTTCTAATTAGAACATTATCAACATTCGACCCAAGATTGTCGCCATAAATTTTGGTATACATTACACTCGTTCTGCAAAAGGACCTTTAAAGAATTAGTGGTACCTAAGCTTTCGATATTTAATGCTTGTTACCGATGCTTGGCGTATCTTTTGATTTAATATATCCCTTTACCTAGGATGGCCTTGGCTTCAAAGAATCAGGTTAATGGCACCATCAAACTGAATATTTAGTACAGAGATATCTTCAAACAAACTAGACAGTGTCCAAACTTTACAGCAAAAACAGAAGCAATCTCACATCCATCTCGGTTGTATTGACAGTTATTTTGTCGCACTATTTTTGTTGTGGTAGAGAATGCCAATGCATTCGAAGGCAACATAGTTCCAAAGGAAAATTTTTCATTCTATGAAACTTGAGTATCTTTAGCTCCCTGTATGGAAAACCTGATATTTGTGCGAAAAAAGCAAAAAGAGAAGAACAAATCTCGCTATGTTATGAATAAACTTTCAATTTTAAATAACAGCTGACAGGCTTTCTTTTTATTTAGCTTTGCATAAATGTTTAAAGTAAGTGCTTGAAACATTAAAACCAAAATATGTTGTACTGGTGAAGCCTTCTGATAGTTTTATGCATGCAATTTTCATCCATGTTGTTCCTTATCATAAGCGTACGGGCCAGGGGGGCTGGGGGGCCGTAGCCCCCCCAGTTTTCGAAAAACCATGTCAGTCGGGCAAATTTTCAAAAATTCTCCGCAAATAGTCGGCCAAAAATGGCACTGAAAAGTGATGAGACTTACTTTAGGTAATTTGGTTGAACATTCGTGGTATCTTCAAATAAACGAAAGACTGAAAGTTACGAGTCAATATCGTTGCATTATCAAATCGACCAAGAGTGCCTTAAAAATGATAAGATGGTTTTTGAAAATTACAAGAAGCAAAGTGCTTTTGAATCTTATGGTAATAATGCAGCAATGCTTGTCCAGAAGATGTTTCAAGAAGGTTTGCATCAAGTACTGCCATTCCTGTATGAAACAACATCATTGCTAGCAACGATTCCAGCAACATCTTGCACAGCTGAAAGATCATTCAGTGGCCTTTCGGACGGCTGAAAACATATCTCAGATCAGAAGAACGGCTGAGCAATCTGGCACTACTTAGCATCGAGAGGAAATTTTCAAACGAAGTTTTGAAAAGAGACATGAATGCGATGATTGATACATTTAGACATAGAAAAGATCGGGACTCACATTTCTTTTGACTGTAGTCGAATTCAAGAGTTAATAATAGTATTTTTTCAGTGATATTAAGTAAAATATTGGAAAATATTATACATTGCTGCCCTTATCTATGAGAAACTTAGATCAAACTTTTAGATCTGAACAGTAGACATTATAGAAGAATCGGTAAGGATAGCATGTCACCCCAAACATGTCTCTGATTGCTCAACTCTCAACTGACTATTTTTACTTTAGATATTTCGGTGAAAAAAAACTCGTAATGTGAATATTCCTATGTCAAGTTCCTTATAAATATATGCATGCCTCTGCACCCGGGCAAAAGTCCTACCCCCCCCCCCCCCCCCTGTAAAAATTCCGCCGTACGCTTATGTTCCTTATATATTGAAGAATTGATACTGAACTCTTTCGAGACGAAGCTTCGAGTCGAAGGCAGAGAGCATCTCAAATGGAAGCAACAGAACGATTTTAAAGAAGTTCTCAAAAAAATACTAGATCCCATGCGGTACAATATAATGCTATGATAACAATCAATGGTAAATTGATAACGGTGAAATTGATAACGGGCTTTGCTCGAAACGTCGTTACTTATTTAAAAATGTTTTTCCTGGTACAATTTCTTAAAAAAATGTCTGCTGAGATTATAAATGACTTTTGAAAAAAGATAATAAAGAAATGTCCCGATTCTGAAGAAAAACAGAATGCTAAAAAGAAGAGCTTTTGAGCTATGTCCCAGAAAACATTAATTTATACTTAATGAATTTGCTTTTGTACTTCAATATTCCTTAAATTTTTTTCATGGTTGAGCTGTAAAATTTAATACTGCACAATATTCTCTTCAGAACTGCGGGGATTCTTATACAAATGCATGTGTAATGTGAAACTACACGCCTTAGACATGTTTTTGGCTAAGCCGTAATGAACCAAATAAAAAGAATATAAATTCCGATATAAAAGACATCCATTATACAATGCAAAAGTTTTCTGAATCCCAGCTTCCTCAGCTGCTTTTAAGAAGGCCAATAAAAGCTAAAAGCTAATTGGATCAGAAAACAAAAAATGATTGCTCCTTGCAACATTTGTTGACGTGTACAAATTAGCTTTATTGAAAACCAATAAATTTTGCTAAATCCTTTAACAACAACTGATGCAAAAAGTACTTTCAATTCGATTGTTAACATAAGTAATTCTAGAACCCTTTTCTCAACAATGAAGAGTTAATGTTACGATGCAAGCTATTGTGCAAAAGCTTTGGGATGATGATCATAATGTATGTATACTTCACAATCTAAACGTACCTTCATGCAAATGCTTGCATTCAAAGCAGTGGTTCCGCAGAAGCACCAAGAACATTAGCAACACCAAACTGTGCCTCGAGACTTTAATGGAACCGAACATCTTGGAAAGTGTGAAATTATCAGAGGAACAACAGAATTTATAATGCTTTAGGGTGTTGTGCGGAGGACCATTGAGGTTTCCGTTGAACCGTTGCCGACAGTGCATATAGTTTCATGTATTGGTTCAAGATGATGAAACTAAAGCTCTATCATCAGCATGATTTTGATATATATTGTTTATGCAGTTAAGTTGTTGATTGAAGTTTGAGGGTGTTATCAATGGCAAGGGAAAGTAGATACATTCCATATGAATGGCTAGTAGCAGTGGCGGAAATTATGGGGGTTTGGGGTCGGGCTCCCCCCCCCCCCCAATCAGCGACGTC